ATCGTCACAAAAAATTATTTTAGCGACGCTTTTATTATGACTAGCTTTCAATATGACTTAATATGAATTACGGTACTACGACATGCATCAATTAGTATATTAACTAATGTACCAATACTAGTTATGACATTATTATTGACTCCACTCATTAATCACATTACAAATTCTAAAAACCTCTTAAATTATGACACATCATCAATTGATACACTAGTTAGTACCCCAATTGGCACATATAACATTATTCTATGAATTAAGTTTAACTATTAGGACCTATTGATAGTTTAACTTTTTTAAATCCACTTAATCTTGATATATTTAAAAAGTGTAAAATTTAAACAATTTTTTAAAATTCATTGAATATAACAAATACGAAAATATATTGAATTTTTATTTTTTATAATATTTTTTGTATTTTAAAAAATTCAAAAATATTATATTTTTAAATATATCTAGATTAGGTGTAATTAAAAAGTAAAAAAAAAATTCATAAATTATTTTAAAAAATCAGTAAAAATAAAAATAAAAAATAAAAAACTCAATAACCAAACAATTTTTTATTTAAAAAAAAAAACCCGCAATATTATTTTCCCCGATTAAAATGATACCAGGAATATAAGAGATAGGACATTTTGCTAGTCTGTAGTGTGTTTCTGCTATGCATCTGCTAGTCTGTCTGAGGGAGTTTACAGCTGCTAGTGTTTGCTATTCTGCATCTGAGTAGCAGAAGCATCTGTTTGTTGGTGAAGCTCTGGTCTAGCATTGTTGAATAAGCTGGTGCAAGCCCCCTGCCTATCTACATGCTGCAGCTACTGCTCAAGTTTGTATGGTGGCTGTTGTAAAGATTAGGAGAATCTAGGTGAAGTTTGGTATCACAAGTTTAGGCTCTAGTCAGAAGGTGGTGTTTAGCTAGCACTTTCAGTAGGTTGTGTTTAGGTAGCAGTTTCTTGTGTTTTCTTGTGGTTTTAGTTTTGGTTTTGTTTGCTCTGTATGTTTGGTTTCTCACCAACTTAGAGCTTGGAGTTGGTGCTGGTAGATGATTTGGTGTGCATTGAGGTGCCAACCTAGTTGGGATCTTCGTGTTTCACTGTGATGCCTTTTGCACCCTCCTCTTTATTGATGTTTGTTCCCATACTTTGTATGTTTTTTCATCAATAAAGCTTTCTTTGCTGATCAAAAAAAAGAGACAGGGCATTGGAATCATTGGAAAATCGAGTTACAATTCATCAATTAGTGATAATCGTCTCTGAAAAGCGAATTGAAACATTGGGTTGGCCTTGCGGAAGCTAAGCTCACACGAAAAAATAAAAATTTAAAAAAATATATGAAAAAGAGTTTGTGACACTCACGATAAGATGATCAATACATTATGGTTGTGTTTAGTTTAATAAATTTGGAAATAAATAAAAATAAAAAAAGAAAAGAAAATATAGGTAAAATTTGAATAAGATATAATTACATTTTACCTATGATTCACATAGCAATTTAATTTTTTTTTTTCTTTTCAAATTCCTCTCAAAATCTTTAAACCGAATAAAACCTAATAGATAACTTGGGGTTTTTCAATTTCGCCACTACCTTCACGGCTGCCACCAGGCAAACCATTAGGGCTCGTAGAGCCCTCAACTACTGCCGATTTCAGCTTGGAATTAGCGACATCAGCTTCAAAAACTTCCTGGTCCTCGTTGGTGGTTTTTTTTAAAAAAAAATTTTTAAAAATCCCTCATATTAAGATTTTATAACATAAAGGATATGAAATATTTTCATAGTAGTTGGGGTCTCTTAACGTTTTACAGAGAAATTTTGAAGAAGAGAAATTTCAATTTAAATAAATTTCAAAATACAAAAAAAAAAATATCTGAAAAAAAAAACCCACAATATAAGAGAATATTCACTAAAAACACAAAAAATAGAAAAACCAAAAAAACTCAATTTTAAAGAAACTAAATTTAAAAAACTAAAACCAAACACACTGTTTTATTTTCTCTGATTAAAATGATACCAAGAATATAAGAGACAGGGCATTGGAATCAAGCTACAATTTAATTAGCAATAATCTCTGGGGAAAAAAAAAAGTATGAAAAACACTTAGGATAGGATAATCAATACATTATGGCCGTGTTTAATTTATAAATTTGGGGATAAATTAAAAAAAAGAAATAAAAAGAAAGAAAATATAGATGAAATTTGAATAAGATATGATTACGTTTTACTTATGATTCATATACTTTTCTTTTTCTTTTTTCTTTCCAAATTTCTCTCAAAATCTTTTTACCAAATAAAACTTAATAAATTACCTGTGGTTTTCCAATTTCGCCACCACCTCCACAGTTGCCACCAGGCAAACCATTGGGGCTTATAGAGCCCTCAACTACTGTCCATTTCAGCTCGGAATTAGCCATATCAACTTCAGAAACTTCTTGGTCATCGATAGTGGTTTTTTTGTTTTTTGAGAATTTTTTTTTAAGGTTTCTAATATTAAAAATTTATAGCATAAAAGATAATGAAATATTTTCATAATAGTTGGGGTCCCTCAAATTTTTACAGAGAAATTTTGAAGAAGAGAAATTTCTCTAGGTTGAAATTTCTTTGGTTTGCGAAATTTCTCTGTGTTTTCAAATTTTCTCTATATTTTCAAATTATTTGGTTTGAAATTTCTCTGATTTGTTCACAAATTTTTCTGTATTTTGACTAATTTTGTTTGATTTACTCACAAATTTTCTCTGTATTTTGACCATTTTTTTCTATAATTTTTACAGGAAAACACCATGCTAAGTTCAACAAATAACTTAAAATATAAAATCTAATTACAGTTTAAAAAATAGCAACCACTACACATGCCAAAAAATCAAAAATAAAATTTAAAGTTAGAAATTCAGTATAACCCTTCCAATTCACTAAATACAAAATCATCAATTGTTCTCAGAAAATGCCACTAATATCAATTCAAGCCATTAAAGTCATGAGAAAACGCAGCTGCAATGGAGCTATGGAAGTTTCTAGAATAAACTCAAAAAAAGACAAAGAATTGAATACCTAAAAGAACATGGTGAAAGCAGAGACGAGCTGCTCTGTCTCTTCTGGAATTAGGGTTTCTTCGACAACTGATCTAACTATGTTTCTTCTTATTTGGAACTTGTTATTGTTCAGTACAATTGCGAAACTAGGGTTATGATTGACAGAGCTACCATGGCTTTGAAGATGAAGAGACCCAAGTGGCAAGCTTAAAGAAAAAGAAGAAGAGATTTGAGATTTTGATAAGCAAATCAAATTCAGAGAGGAAAATCATGAGATTGAAGAAGCCATTGTTGTTTGGTTCAATTTTGTTATTGTTATCAATTCAGAGAGAGAGTCATGGTGGTGGAGGAAGCGTTGGTGTGGGAAGCGGACGAAGAGGCTACGACAGGGGAGAGAAAGAGAGAGATGAGAGAATGAGAGAGATGGTATGATACATGAGTGTGGGTGAGAGACCTTAGGCTACAAAAATAAATATTGTGGACATCTCTCATTACTAAAAGTTGGAGAGAGATGTTAAACTTTTTTTTTTTTTTTTTTTTTTAAATGAATGTAGTTGCGCATGAGTGGATTTTTGTTTCCTTCTTATCAACTTTTTCACTTGATCCTTAGGGTTATGTTCTTTTTGGACTACTGGGTTTCTCTTCAATCCTTAATCGAACTAGATAGGTATTATTCGGTCTATTGGGTCCACTTTTAGGTCTAATAATCCGAACCGTTCATATTTTAGGATTTATCAAGTACGTTATCTTTGCAAAAAAATCAAGTTGATCAGATAATGACAACCACGTGTTCAGATTAATTTTGTATAAACATTTATTTTCTCACTGTTTATAAACCGTTTATTTTTTTTCATACAAAATTGATCTAAACATTTGGTTTCTGCTATTCGATCAACTTGATTTTTTGCAAAGACGATATACTTGACGAATCTTAAAATATAAACGATTTGAATTATCGAAATGGAATTCTAAAATAGACCCAATGGGCCGAACAATACCTCTTTAATCCGATTAAGGGATGAAGAGAAGCCCAGTCTTTTTTTGACAAATGATTTGCCTTTTGTTTGTGTTAACTTTAGTTGGATATAATCCGGTTGGCATTGGCACTTTCTCATTAATCCTTTTGTGTTATTTTTCAATTTTGAGTTAATAATAATTTTTTGATAAAAAAAAGTTAATAATTATTTTATTATTGTTGTTTTTTTATGAATTCAAAAAAATATGGGGTAAATTATATTGATATTCCCTAAATTTTATCTCTTGCGTTATTTTAATCCATGCAATTTCAATTAGTTCTATTGTAATTTTTTATTTTATATTTTGTTCTAATTTAGTTTTATTGATAATGTCAATTAGGGTTTTTTTAAAAGAAAATGGTTACTAAGTTGGTTAAAATTAACTCACTGAATTGAATAAATATAATTTTGTTTATAAAAACTTAACACATGTCGTTTGTGTATGCATTTTCTATATATAAAAAAAGCGGTAAATTACAAACATACCTCCTGAAATTTGTTTAAAATATAGATTATCCCCTATAATTTGGAAAATTACAAATACTCCTTTGATAGAATTGTTAATTTAACATAATTAATTGAAAAAATAAAATTTCTAACTGCTTTCATGTACAGTAATAAAATTACCTTAATTATTAATTAAAATAAATTTATGATATTATTAAAAATTGTTAATTAATTTGATGATTTATTATTAAAACGAGCCATTTGTTATGAATATCGAAACTTTAAGGAGATGAGATGTAATTTTCAAAATCACGGAGGATAATTTGTATTTTAAACAAAGTTCAAGGGGTGTGTTTGTAATTTATCCCCAAAAATATTATTAATTATAATTAATTAGACCAAAATTGAAACAAAATCATAATTCATGATAAAAACAAATTAATTAAAAATATAAAAATTAAAATGACAAAAGAATCAAAATATACGAACTAAACAGTGTAATTTGCCCAAAAATAGAAGCAACTGAAAGCTTTGTTTTTTTTAAGAACAGAACTTAAAGCTTTATTGAAGTAAAGCAAGAGAGTACAAAGAGAAACATCAATAAGAAAAAGCCAAAGCCATACGCAATGCAGCAGAGTAGAGAGAGCTAAACTAGACAAAAGGCTTATACTCCCTCTCACACAGAAAGCTGCAAAACGTTGGTTCAAATTAAAACCAAAACATATAAGAAAATGAAGCTGAGAGAGGCCATCGAAAGGCAAAACAAACATACCAAACCTACCAAAAGTATCTTGTTCTTTAGGCTAAATAATAAAGATACACCAAGCAAGTTCACAAGAGAGATTGCAATTCGAAACCGGCAATTACAGGGCTGACATGCACCACCACATAAAATGCATTATGTTTGGCTGTGGCTAATCTGATTTTTGGGGTCGACCCTTTAAACAAAGCTTTAGCATCTCAACGTGTTCCCCAAGAAGGTCTGAGCCTAACATATAATCCCGAATCCCTAATACCCCGATGGTGATAGGATAAATCACCAGTATACCAAAATAAATACCAAATATATATGATGCAATCAGAAAATAGTTAGTATTGGAATGCGATGGTGATATGACAAAAAATGAGAACCCATAGCTCATAATCAGAAAGGATAGGGAGCCGTACCACAGGATATTATAACGATTCAGTGGGAGGACAGCGACAATTGTTACGATTGAGAAAAAAAAGCATACTGTGTTGAGGAAATAAAATAGGGTGAAGAATTGTCCATATGTAAAATCTTTTTTAAAAGCATGGTATAGCACTTGGTTGGCAGGATTGTAGGTTGTGTTGGTGGCACTAGGGGTGAATATGGTGGCATTAAAAAGACTGATATTAGTAGGAAGGCCGGCAGTAGAGATGATGGTGGCATATATAAGAGTACCATTGGTGTCGGTAGTTAGCTGATTATTGTTGTCGCCACCTCCAAGTCCTCTTACTCCGCCTGGGGGGCTAAGTATAGCATGGTAGGTACTCGTTGAGAAAAAGTTTGGTTTTGAGAAAATTTCTAGAACAATACTACCTTTAATTATTTTTTCGATCCTTCTCTCCGGCGACTTCAAAAAACCAGCACGACTATAATGGGTAGGAGAGGATGAACTTTGAAAAGCTCCAGCACCGCGTAAAATAGCCTCAATTTCTGTTGTGGCCCCACTAGGTCGCTCACGTTTTAGTTTTGCAGCAATGCCAAGGGCCGTTAAGCCTTCCAAATTCTTTTTATTCATGTTCATGTATGATTCTGCAACTAATAACTTCACAATCTGCATAAGACAGGCGTGCATAAATCAATAATTTTATTATTATTGGAAAAAAAAATTATTTTTGTTACATATCTCAGTGAAAAAAATTATAGACACTGTGTTATTACAAAAAGAGCACAGGCAGTGGACTGGACCATCCAGTCCAGTTGGTTTGTGTGGTCTACTACATATAAGGGGCTGGCTTCTCTCAAGTCTGATCACGGATTGGAGGGTATTATTGGGTCTATGGGGGCTCATCAAAAATCTCGTTTTGATAATATGAACCGTTCAATGTGTAGAAATTGTCGAATACTATATTGTGGGAGCCGAATAATTTTGGATCAACAGGAGCGGACCAATTCGGTCCAGAACATAATTTCTATTCGGCATTAACCCTATCCAATTTTGGGGCCGAATAAAAGAGTCGGTATTCCTGCCAGTGAAACAAGGGCCGTGTAGAAGTACATGGCAAGGACTAGAAGTGCAGGCCCAGGGCCCCAAGAGAATACTATAAATACAAGATCTTCAGTCCTAAAGAGGTATGTGAGAATTACTATGCTTAGCTTAGAATACAAGCCTCCTCGAGTGTAGATACTAACTTGTCAGTCAGAGTGCTAATTCCGGCACTCCTGACCGGAGTGTTTATTCTTTTTCAGGTGACCAGAAGAGGATCATGAGCATTCCCCAGGATCCCAAAGAGTATTTCCAAACCATTTACCTACAATTGGCGCCGTCTGTGGGAATACTCAAGCACATCCATGGCGAGCGTAACGGAAGATCCTCCGACAGTCACTGTTGACCCTATACCTCACGATGAAACTATTCTAACAAACTTGCTTGGACCAGAAACTATCGCCGCACGACGTGCCTTGAATTTCGCCTCACCCTCAACTTCGGAGCACGAGACAATGCAGGTGATCATGGAACAAGCAAAGCAAAATAAACAGAGGCTGGAGAACATGATCACTGAGAACGAACGTCTTCGTGAAGATTTGGCCTTGGAAATGGCGAAGTCCAAACAAGCTGCGCGCCTAAATCCGGAACGATCTCCGAAGGCAGGTGGTCGACAACCTCGAGCACGACAAGACACTGATAGCGACTCCGACTCATTATCTCCGGAGTCCAGGAAGAAGGAACGACATGAAACCACCAGTTCTTCCGAAGAAAGTCCATGTACAATGCAGAAGCGAAGAAGGAAAAGTTCAGACGAAGACCAACACGACCCCATCGTACGACGGATCGCAAAGGTTCCGCTACCAAAGAAATTTAAAGCACCGTCGTTCACCCTGTACGACGGCAAATCAGACCCCACCGACCACATCCACCACTACAAGCAGGCCATGACATTGCATGCAGACGACGAGGCCCTCATGTGCTGAATATTTCCCAGCAGTTTGGGACCGTTGGCGGTCCGGTGGTATTATAAATTGGAGCCGGCTTCAATCAAAACCTTCCACCAACTACAGAAATCCTTCAGGGCCAGATTCATTACCAACGAAGTCCAGCCAAAGCAAGCCGACTCCCTCTGGGCAATGCAAATCCTGCCAAGAGAAACGCTAAGAGCTTATTCGGCACGATATTGGGAATGCTTTAACCTTGTCGATGACGCTTGCAACGACTCCGTAGCCATCACTGCCTTCAAAATGGGACTACACCCAAATAGTGCCCTCCGCAGTTCCTTGACTAGAAGACCCCCTAAAACAGTCTGGGGGTTGATGAAGAAAGTAGAGGAATACTGCAAAGTGGAAGACGACGCCTTGCGGGTTAAAGCCGGACATGTGGTCAACAAAACGGCCCCTCCCGAAATCGCTCAACCAATAAGTTCCGCATCACCTCAAAGCCCTGAACCACGACAGCGGGCTAAATGAGACAAGAGACGGGATTCTCGCTGATCCAACGATCGATGCCCACACCAAGCCAATGAGCAACTGTAGGTCGATAGCAGGCGCACAAAGCGCGCCGACAAGAAACATACGGAGCTGTCAAAGCCAATCAACTCAATTATGCCCAAGATCCAACATCTTCCATTCTTCAAATGGTCGTCCAAGATGGCGGGACCTCCTAACACGAGAAGGCGAGACAAACGTTGTGAATATCACAAAGATCACGGTCATGATACGAACAGCTGCTATGCCTTGAAAGACCACCTTAAGGAATTGGTACAAGATGGTCGGCTCCAGCAACACGTCCGAAAAAGTACAATCAAAACTGTCGCCCTTCGGCAGGAGTCACCCCCCCTCGGCGTGATACATATGATATACAATCTTCCAACGCCACGTACCGTGCATGCAATCCATTCATCCCCCCAGGAGCAACGCGCACAAACGAAACAGCCCCACCAAACGCCGAGCATTATCTTCAACGATTCCGATCTTATTGGCATAACACTCCCTCATATTGATCCATTGGTTATTGAACTACACGTGAACCAGTTTACCGTTGAACGCGTCCTCATTGACCAGGGGAGCACTTCGGAGGTCATGTATTACGAGACCTTCATCAAACTCGGCTTCAACGAATCAGACCTGTCTTCGGCTCTTCATCCATTGTTCGGCTTCAACACGAATCCGGAGTATCCGTTGGGAAAAATCACGTTACCCGTTCGGGAGGGCTCTCAAACGGTGGAAGTGGAATTCCTAGTCCTCAAGCTCCCTTCGCCGTATAACCTCATTATGGGACGGACTTGGTTGCATACTATTCAGGCCGTACCAAGCACCTATCATCAGCTGCTACGCTTCCCGACCGAACACGGCATTGAGCAAATCCAGGGTTCCCGACAATCCGCACAAGCATGCTATCTCCTTTCTGGAAAGACACCAACGGAGACGCAGGTCAACTCCATTGAAGCGTCAAATCAAGAGTCTCAATGAAGTCGGACGGCTTCGTGATAAGAAGCCACGAAATTTGTAGGCGATACCGGTAGCAGCTTCTCAAGACGTCTGATCAACGCATCCAGCTGCGTCGCTGCACGCCGATGAAGTTTCCCCTGAAGGTATTTTTGGACGATAGAAGGCTGGTTGATGGAGAATTAGGCACAAGTTCTATCATAAAACCTGACTTATGGGAATGACATTGGTTCTGAGCGGCTCACCATGTACACTTTCCACTTCTGTAATGCAAAGACGCCTGTTTACTGACTCTGCAATCTAGTTCAAAAGCCTCCGGATTCGGAGCGCCCTTTGTGGATATCACGATTGGCCAAATTAATTCTCCGGATTCGGAGCCCCATCGGCGCATGACGTCCTTGGGCCGATAAAGCCTCCGGATTCGAAGCGCCCTTCGTGAATATCACGATTGGCCAAATTAAGTCTCCGGATTCGGAGCCCCATCGGCGCATGACGTCTTTGGGCCGAAAAAGCCTCCGGATTAGGAACGCCCTTCATGGATGTCACGATTGGCCGAATTAAGTCTCTGGATTCGGAGCCCCATCGGCGCATGACGTCCTTGGACCGATAAAGCCTCCGGATTCGGAGCGCCCTTCGTGGATATCACGATTGGCCAAATTAAGTCTCCGGATTTGGAGCCCCATCGGCGCATGACGTCTTTAGGCCAAAAAAGCCTCCAGATTCGGACCGCCCTTCGTGGATGTCACGATTGGCCAAATCAAATCTCCGGATTCGAAACCCCATCGGCGCATGGCTTCCTTGGGCCGATAAAGCCTCCGAATTCGGAACGCCCTTCGTGGATATCACGATCGGCCAAATTAAGTCTCCGGATTCGGAGCCCCATCGGCGCGTGACGTCTTTGGGCCGAAAAAGCCTCCAGATTCGGAGCGCCCTTCATGGATGTCACAATTGGACAAATCAAGTCTCCGGATTCGGAGCCCCATTGGCGCATGACGTCCTTGGGCCGATAAAGCCTCCGGATTCGGAGCCCCATCGGCGCATGACGTCTTTGGGCCGATAAAGCCTCCCGATTTGGAGCGCCCTTCTAAAATGAAAACATTTACACATCTAAGCAGAGATATGTAGCCTGAAACCAGTACAATCGCATGAACAAGACAAAACGTGCCAGCATTCAAAGTAAGATGCTCAAATTAAACATACAAAAGTTCAGAACGAGATAAACTTTTGGAATAAAACATTTTATTCAATTAAACGGTAATTACAAAAAACGCCATCCGCATTCGAAGCATTACAACATCTATTCTCATACGACATCACGCTGTACAAGCGGCAGTGCCAAGTCAATGCCCGCTGATCAGAGGGCCCCCTCAACTTGAAAATGCTTTGATCTGACCGCGCTCGAGTCCACGATTCACCCCAATGAGATAATCGCCCTTGAGGCGGAAACCTTTGGCACCATAGACAATGTCAAGGCCAAGATCCAAGACAAGAAAGGAATTCACCACGAAAACAGTAATACTCAACGGCCGCGGAGCTACGTCGGTCCCATTTCTTGGCCGCAGTTGCGGACAACTTCGCCATCGCTGTTTCTCCGTTCGAGGTGATTTGCTTTGGCGACTTAAAGGATGATGTTTCTTGAGCACCCTGCCTCCCGTGCGAGTGTTTTCCCCGCTGCGATTCGTCGCAATATCAGACTCAGCCAGAGTCCGACCTTCTTCCCTACTGAAGAAAAGCTTCATTCGACGATCACACTTACGTAACCCCACGCAACAAAATCATTCTAAAACGAGTCTGTGCACAGAAAACGAAGTCACTGGAGCGACAAATCCGAGGCATTTTGTTTCTAAAATCTTTGCAGTGGCCTCGAGGCAACACTGAACTCCAAACGACGAACGCCGAGCGACATTTGCCGCAGCCACTCCATGCACTAATTTCTGCCTTGTTAAAACGGCCTAAATTATATAAATGGCAATTATGGGCGAATGCCTTGAAATCCATGTACTGGCTGGGGCAAGGGCAGATTTATTAATCTAACCGGCCGAGCATCTTGGCCCCATGCCGATCGATACGTGCCACAGCCACTTCATGCACTAATTTCTGCCTTATTAAAATGGCCTAATTATATAAACATAAATTATAGATGGGCCGACTGTCTTCGGAGTCGGAGCCCCATCG